TTCCAAACCGTAACCTCCCAGTTGGTGTGTCGGCAGATGGCATGTAGGAGCGTCTGCCCTGGGGCTTCATCCTGCGTGTGATTAATTCTCCTCCCCGTCTTTGGGGGCTGGAGGCGACTGGCGAGCGTGACGGGGACCCTGTGCTGACCCGACCACCCCCCGCCCCCGTGTCGCTTAGATCTGCAGCCTCATGCGCGGGGGCATCGCGGAGCGGGGCGGCGTCCGCGTGGGCCACCGCATCATCGAGATCAACGGGCAGAGTGTGGTGGCCACGGCCCACGAGAAGATCGTCCAGGCGCTGTCCAACTCGGTGGGAGAGGTGAGAGGTCACTGCCCGAAGCCAGAACCGGGCTCTTGGAGTCCAGATGTTTCCATGGCCAACATGTAATCCCCCAGGGCGTGTATAAGGTGCTGGGGAAGCACCCCAGAGCAAAGCCTCCCTTCTTGGCAGAGCCTGTCCCTGCGGGGACTTGGGCACATCTGCTGGCTGGCGTGCTCCCACCCGGACCTTCGTGAGCCTCCTCCAGGGGCTGCATCAGCTGAGCACGGCTGTGTCTCCCACGGGGGAGCCTTCTGCAGGCGGGGTCTGGCATCCCCTCCTCACCCCGGGTAACTGTGGCTGATGGGATGGGGGTGGGCATTCGCAGGCCGGCCCTGCTGTGCTCCCCTCTCCCACTCTGCTGGCTGTACCCCGCCTCCTTTTCTGCTTCTTTCTGGCATCAGTGCGATGCCATGCCAGCGTGAGGGTGGACGGGGTACAGAGCGGGGAGCTCAGGAAGGAGCAGGATACCTCAGCGGGGGACGTAAGATGCTGGGAGTGGGGGTACCAGCCCAGTGCTGGGAAGGAGGCCTCCCCGGTGCGGGGGTGGGTGTGTGTAGGTGTGTAGGAAGCGGGGAGTCAGGGTGAATGGGTATCTCCCTGGATGAAGCCTGGGTGACAGCAGCGCAGAAGGGGTAGACCAGCGCTGAGTAGCAGGTGACACGGGACGGCTGTGAAGGCAGGTGCTGGGCGGGGAGTTTAGGTTTGATTCTGAGGGCGGTGGGGACCCAGGGGCTGTGTGGGGAGAGGGCACGGCTTCCTCTTTGGAGGCTGGTGGGGGGAGCGTGATGCTGTTCCCTGAGGGGCCTTCAGATCATGTCCGGTCAGGACACCTTTCCTGGGGCCACGTTGACCCACTCAGTATTTTGTGAAAGTCCCAAGGCCGGGGGAGGAGGCCTGTTTCCCTGCATGGGTGGTGGCAGACAGCAGCTCTCAGGAAGGAGGAGGCCAGGTAGGTGCCATTAGCCTTCTCTTACAAATGGCTTCAAAGAAAGGAAAATCCAATTGTCCTAAGTAGACGCCTCGGGACTGGGGCCATCAGTCGGGCGGGGGAGCTGGGCTGGGAGCGGGAGAAATGCGTCCGACTGTCTGGACCTGAGGTGAATGGGTATCAATCAGGCTGGACCTCAGGCCCAGGGTGTTGGAAGCCGGTCCTGGCTGGTCCTGAGACATGAGCTTGTCTGCCTGTGTTTTCCATCATCCCTGAGCACATTTGGAAAATGAGTCACCGATCACTAGACCTGGCGTTTTGCTGGGCCTTGGGGGTGGGTTTCAGATTGAGGAACTAGAATGAATCTGCTGATGGGAAAAGCCATCGCAGGCTGACGAAGGAGCAAACATCTAGGTGGATCAGACAGACCCTGGTGTTGGGGGCCAGGGGGGGAGCCTGGGTGACAAGAAAACGCTTCGGCCAGACTGGCCATCTGGGTTGGTCAGATAAGGCCTGAGAACGGCTTGCCCGAGGAAGGGCAGGCCTGGGGGGTTGGCTGCACGCCCCTGGGGGTGGCTGCACCTGCGGCCGCCTCTCCCTGGGTGCTGGAGGTCTGCCAGCCCACCCCCTAGAGCCACGGTCACCCACAGGGGCCTGAGCACGGCCGGGTCCCGGGCTAGCCTGCGGAGCAGACTGCTTAAAGGAAGCAGAAGCAGAGCCCGGGGCCCAGGCGGGATTTAGGGTATGTGCCCCCCACGGCTGGCCTCTCCGGGCAGCCGTCTCTGTGCCTTGCTGGCATACCCAGCCTCTGTGGTGCCAGGGACTGAGGTCAGGCCCCAAAGGCTCATTTGCTAACTGACCCCCAGGGGCTGGGGGGCTCCAGGCCTCCGCCCGCCGCACACGCACTTTGTGTGTGAGCCTCTGGGTCTCACGCCGAGGCAAAGCTTGCCCCTTGCAGTTTCCAAGGAGGCCTGGGCGCCCCAGCTTGCCTTCAGCTCGGTGCACAGTCAAAAGTCCAACTTTTTATGCACCTGGTGTCAGCTTGAGCTGAAGGGAAAACAGCCCTTGACCGCGTGTAAAACCCTCTAAAGACCTGGACGGGGCGTCCAGGTCACAGTCTGCGCACAGTCAAAAGTCCAACTTTTTATGCACCTGGTGTCAGCTTGAGCTGAAGGGAAAACAGCCCTTGACCACGTGTAAAACCCTCTAAAGACCTGGACGGGGCACCCAGGTCACAGTCTGCACAGTCAGGGTATGCTTTCTAAGCCGCCATCGAGGTGGTGACCACGGTGTCGACTTGAAAAAATGCACAACGTGAGAGTTGTGAGTTGTTTTATTTGGGGCAAAATGAGGACTGTAGCCCAGGAGACAGCATTTCATATAGCTCTGGTAAACTGCTCCAAAGAGGTAGGGGGAAGGTCAGTATGCATGTGATTTTGGTGAAGGGGGAGGACATGCAATGGAGCACATATTTTTTGCAGGAGGTTCTGCAAGTCTCCTGAGGGTTACAGCTAGTCATGAGCAGCAGACGTCACCAGGAAGGATCTCGGTGTTTTTCTAGATATGAGGAGATGCAAGAATTGGGCTCATAAAATTGGCTCCTGAAAATATCTATCTGAAGACCTGTTCTCCCAGTTTTCCCCAGAGCACAGAGGGCCTCATTCCTGATCTCCACCTGAACTCCTTTCAGGGGGTGTTGAAGGTCAGCAACTGCAGCGGCTCCTGCTTGAATCCTTGTAGACGTAGATGGCAAGTGCCCGCGCCAAGTGCCAATTTGTTGTTGACAGCCCACAGGTCATTCTTCCTCCCCTCTGGACGCTGGTACTTTACACAGGACACGCTCAGGGGACTTGGGCATCGCTGGTCTCGCATGGGGGGGACGGGGGCGGGAGGCGGAGGCAGGGAGGGCTGGGTCAGCCCCTCTCTCTCATTGGCAGATCCATATGAAGACCATGCCTGCCGCCATGTTCAGGCTCCTCACAGGCCAGGAGACCCCGTTGTACATCTAGGCTGCCCGCCTGCACCCCAAGGAGTGGGAGCCGGACCCAGGACCCGACCCCTGAACCCACAGCCCACCTGATGACACTGGCTCCTCCGAAGGGCGTGCCCTCACCACCCACTTTTTTTTTTTGGACCAAAAGGGGTCATTATCCAAGGAGAGTCACAGGAACCAGTCTTTGTAGAACAGTCACGTATTTTGCCACATTCTGAATTTTCTCATTGCGACGGACAAGGGTTTGTCTGTGCGTCCGTGTGGTGTGGAGCCGTGGAGGGCGAACGTGGGTGCCCCCGGATGCGGCTGTGCGGGGAGCCCCTCGAGGACAGTGCGCTCCAGGGGGCAGCAGCGGTGTGCCCCGCCCTCAGCTGGGGCTCGGGTTCCTGTGGGGAGGGCACCCGACTGCCCTGATGGCTGAGTGTGGGCAGCCAGCTCTCAGGATGGGACTGGTCACTGAAGTTGGGGGACACGTGGTTGTATTTCCCGAGAAACGAGACATCCCTGAGTTACATAAATGGTGATATCCACAACCTCAAAACTCCATGCCTATTTAGACAACATCACCATTTTGACTTTTGACAACAGACTGCTCTTCAGACGTTAGGATTTTCCGACGACCCGTGACCACGTCTGCTGCCCGTGCCCGCCTGTCCGCTGGCCCTTGGACGCCCCCGGGCAGCCTCCCACACAGGCCGGCGGCCTCATTACAATCTCTGTCTACACACACGCATCCACACGTGAGCTCCCCCTCGGAAACCAGCCCCTCCCCGGACGCCTGGAGCCTGCTGTCCCCGGGGGCCTGCGCGTCCGGGTGCCGTCACCATGAGCAGTGTTCCAGCGCGTGTAGGTCAAGTGCAACATAGTCTAGATCCGCCCCGCAGAGCTCAGTGTTCACGATGTCATTTTGTCCGGAAGTCTCTCTCTTTGGCCCAGGCCTTGAAGAATACACTGTGACTTAAGAAGCCTTACCATGCAGTAACTAAGCTCTAGGACCACTGGATGAGGGTGACCTGTGTGTTGCATGCAGCTGACCTTGGGAAGACTCGCTAATACCACTAATAAACCTGAGGTCATGACGGAAAGCTGTCCGTGTGGCTGGTTTGTTGACGGAGAAGTGGCCGCCCAGCTTTACTCTAACTCCGCCCCTCACAGCCCGGCTCCGGGTGGGGGGGGGCCTCCCTGCCAGGTCTGAGGGCTCCAGGCACCATCCCCGCAGGAGACAAGCTCCTGACTAATTGGATGAGGGAGAGTGGGAGGCTCGGGCTTCTGGTTCAGACGGGAATCATCTCTGGGAGAGGTGTGTGCGTGTACAGAGCGGAAAGCGGCCCACCTACAGCCCGGCTCCTTCCCTGGGGCCGCCCTGCAGCCCGTCTCACCTGATAGCAGGACTTGGCAGTGCTCCCATCACTGACTGTGTTCTGCGGTCACCGTCCTGGTCCCGGTGCCCCTGGCATGGGGAGCTGGGGTGAGCATGGGCTCTGGTCAGAAGCCCTGGGTGGTGTTCCAGCATGTTATCAAGGGACACTGGGCAAGCCGGGCCCCTTCTCTGGCCGGGATCTTAGTTCCGTGCTGTGAGCCACTAGGCAGGGATGGCCCACACCCTGGGGTGAGAGCTGGAGGGAAGGGGCCTCGGCTCAAGGGGGCCCAGGGGTATGGCCCTGCAGCGCCCAGAATGAGGCAGGTGAATGGGCTCCGGAGAGGAAACCCATGGCTAGCAGATGACGGGGAGCAGGTGTCCCTTCATGTGCTACACATTTTAAAAAAAAAAAAGAGCTTTAAGCCAAGGGCCTGCATTCCTCCCAGAAGCTGGGGGACATGTCCCACAGAGGGACAGCTGTGGGCTGGGCGCCTGCCCTCTCCCCTCACACCCCCAGGGTCTGTCTCCAGAAGGATGTTAGGAAACACAGTCAGGTGCCGGGGTGGGTCGTGCTCCGTGGTCGGTCGTCCGGCCTGAGCCCTCGCTTGGCACCTGGTCACCAGCAGTACACACGGCTCTCGGCATCTGTCCCGATCAGACCTCAGAGACACAGAGGCCAGAAATAGTTTTTATTAAAACACTGATCATTATGAAAACACCTTGAGGTACATTAAATAAATACAGCCTGCCAGTTGTACAAACAGGCTTGAAAACAATTTCCTATAAATTCTGCCTTAATAGCAGCATCTGTGGATCAATACAGCCGCGGGGGAGAAAACATCCATTCGAAATAAGCTTTCTTTTATGTGGTTTGTTACACGCATTCAATTTGTATCATTGTCACCAGCTGAAGAAGCCCTTAAGTGCTTGTGAAGGATAAGCGCCCCCCTGTTTGCCATAGAGTAGGGGTCTGGAGTTCCTCCAGCCCAGCATCCTTGTGGTCCCTGGGTGGGGGTCTAATGGCAGCGCCAGACAGGCACTGGCCCTGTGCTGGCCGTCTTTTTGGTGGGGGAGGTCCAGGAGAGCACAGGCCCCGGGCCCTGTGCAGGGGGCATCCTGGGCCTTGGCTTCCAGCGCAGCCCGTGGGGACCTGCCTGCTGACGTGTTAACGAGAGCGGGGAGACCAGGGCCGAGCGGACGAGGACGCACCAGTGACGGGGGGACACTGCCTTTCCCCTTGGCTATGAGCCGACACAGCCTGGGGCTCAGGGCGCTCGATGCCGGGGCTGCTGGTTCCCAGGTGCCGCCGAGCAGAGTGGGGTTGAAGGTACCTGGGCTGGGGAGTCAGACCCCGGCCCGTTGCCAGGCACTTCTCTCTTCCCGGGACCTTTCCTGGGAGCCAGGTGCCTGGGCCTGCAGGAGCCGACGTGGGCCCTCAGAAGGTGCCAGCCCAGCGCTGTAGAACTGGGTACAGCGTACTCACCCGCAAGATAGAGATGCTGTGAGAACACGTGTGAGGGCCGAGCACTTGAGAACGGCCGGCCGGTGGGCTTCAGGCCAGAGCACCTACCTGCACCCAGGTGGAGGCACAGGCTGTGGCAGGTGCTCGGAGGCAGGAGACATGGCGCCCTGCAGGGAGGGGAAGCAAAAGACACAGAGCAGCAGGCCAGGCCTCCTGGAGGTCACCCAGCCCGCTGCAGGGTAACAATTCTGATGCCCGTGAGGTGGGGGGTGGACGCAAGGGCTGGCCTCACTCGAGAGGCAGCCTGTCTGAGACCTGCAGGCTTGGCCCAGGGCCTTGCCGTGTGAGCCCCCAAACCTGACGTGAGCCCCCCACCCAGGTGAGACCCCTGCAGCCTGCTAAGCCCTGGTTGCCACCCCAGAGATGCCTTGATGCAGAGGCCAGGGCGCTGGGGCCATCCATGCTTTGCTGGGAGGCTTAGGGGAGGCCCCTTGGAAAAACCATAAATTTACTTTACCTGCAGAGAGATTTACTTTTGGGGACTTCAAAAGCCCTCAGTTGAGAAAAATTAGAGTAGAGATTTCCCGTTTTATAGTCTGGATAAAGTGCTCATAAATTCTCCTCTGTGATGTCTCGAGTGGAGAAGTTCCTGCTATCATCACAAGGCCTGACTTATATATTGGTCCAGCTCTCACCTCTGGACGGCAGTGACCAATGATAACATTAGGAAGCAAAGCGTTGGCAGCTGACTGGCACCGCGGGCTCCTCGGGGTGTCTGGGCTGGAAACACCCCCGCGAGCCCCGTCCCTGCTCCCCCCACACCCCCCAGCACACTGGCTACGGGGGTGGGGCGGTGGCGGTGGCACAGCCCTGGGCTGCTGGACACCCGGCAGTGCTGGGCACCCTCCCAGCCCGCCCCCGGCACTCCGTGTTGGGCCATGGGCTCTTGGTTGAGAACTGTGGTCTCCGGCTGCCTTGTCCCACGCAGGAGCCGCCAGCCACACTCCAGGATGGCACAGGTGTCCCCGTGGCTGCAGAAAGTCCTGAGGACACAGCGCTGCTGCTGCTGAGGTCGCCAGAACAGGGCGGCCCAGGGGGCCAAGAAGGTCCAGGGCACCCAAGCTGCTGTGGCCGAGGAGGCTTCTGCGCACCCAGCTCGAGGTGGGGGTGGTTCACGGAAAGGAGCGGTCGACAGGTGGCATCTTCCAAAGCAGATGTGGCGGCTGCCGCCCGGCTGGGGAAGGGGCTGCTCTGGGTCATCAGAGACCCCTTGAGGCCAGTCTGGCGAGGGCAGATGTGGGAGAACCCCGGGGGCTCGCCATGGGGGCTTATTGTTACGGGGCAAATAACTACTCAAAGTGCTCTGTGCTGAGCTGGCTAAAGAGACAGTGGAGAGACAGCCAGAGAGGAAGCTGGGAAAATGCCCTGGGGCAGGGAGAGGCAGGGAGGGGTTGCCCGGGAGACAAGGTGCGGGGGGGCGGGGGGGGTGCAGGTCCCTCAAAGCCCCTTGCCACAGGGTGGCTGGGCCCCCCTGGGGAGTCCCTCATTGTATGTTTGTTCACAGGGTGGCCCTGTCTCCCTGCGGGCATAAGGCTGGACCTCCGCTGCCATCTGGGCTAGAATGACTTATTTTCTTAAAAATCAGCCTCTAAGAAAGGGTTGATCATTGATTCAAACCGCAAGGGGAAATGGGCTCATTGCCTGATGGACTCCTCTACCCCTTTAAACACTAAACTAAATTGGGGGGGGGTGAGGACTGGGGTGCAGGAGAATCTTGCTCTTCCATGGCCCCGAGTGTGAAGATACTTCAGTTTCTTTAGCTACATGCGTGTCCCCTGCCACTGGATCGCTGTCACGTGGCTAGTTCAAGGTGCTACCTGCCTGACAACAGGGAAGAATTCACGATGGACACAAGAGAGTCATCCACTGTATCACTGGGACAGGTAGGAAGCGTCAGCCCCCAGAAAACAGCCGATGGGGTCCCCCTGGAGGAGGGAAGGGCCTCCGCCACTTGATCCACCGGGGAAGCAGCCTTTCCCCACAGGCCCGGCGTCCCTGGCAGGGACTCTGAGGTCTGTCCACGTCCACATCCAGACGGAGGCGCCTTCACAGCTGGTCCAGGACACGGGCACTGAGGACGGCCTCCTCCATGTGGCGCTCCTCGGAGGGGATGGCCGAGCGAGCAGAGCCCACCACGTGCCTCACCTCCACGGGAAGGGAGCAGCTCGAGTGTTCCAAGAACTTAGCCACCAAAACCCTGGCGTCCGCGTAGGCCTTGCTGTCCACTAAGGAGTGCGGCCGCTCTTTGGAGACTGTCTGTAAGGCCTCTGGCTTTAACCGCTGGTCCGTTTTCCAGGCATCTGGTTCCCTGGGGGGTGAAAGCTGGGGCCGACAGGCACAGGCAACCATGACAGAGTGAGACAAGGAAGCTGAAAACCAAGGGAAAATGCACAATCTGCAAACACCCGACACAAAACAGAAGGCAGCCGTCCACTAACTTCTCTGAAAAGCAAACACAGGGATGCTTGGGACAAGCTTTCCGCTGGGATTTCTGTGTTCCCCAGCTGGCCCTCGCTTCGCATGTCCCCTGGCATGGCCTGGCCCCTCGCAGCCCTGAGTTCAGCCTGCAGTAACCTAGAGGGGCCGCAGCCTCCTGGAGCCGAAGGCTGGAGATGGGAGGGCAAGATTCAAAGCCGGCCAGCGAGAGAAGTGCAGGGCGGGGCAGGGGTCTCCATTCTGTGTGCCTCTCTGCTGGAATTCCCGAGCTCGCAGGGGGGCTGCCCCTTCTCAGCCTTCCCCAGCTCAGTGACCTTCGCCCTTGTGGGTTGGGTGGCATTTGGAGACACGTCTGCCTTAAGAGCAGAGCTGGGGGTGGCAGAGGGGCAATGAGAGCGCCCTCCCCACGTCAAGGGCAGAGACAGCAGCCACCTCTCACGAGGCAGCAGAGTCGCCCGAAGCCCAGGGCCTTGTGCTCAATGCTCCCCAGGCCAAGGGCAGGAAAACGGAACCAGCTACCAGCGGGCCCCGGCCACTCCAGATGACCCTCCAGAGAAAGAAGCTCCGGGCGGTCAGCTGTGACCAACTCACCAAGTACCAGATTAAGACCCGGTTGCTCAACCTATGTTTCAAGTCACACAAGGAAACACGTTCTGGGTGGTCTGGGGTATTTCTGGTGGCAGCGAGCAAGCCTGGCAATTAAGCATGTGAAACTGTATAAGATTCACACGGGGGCCCGTCTCCCCTCCAAAGAGAATCTCATAAATACAGTGACACAAGCAGCCGTGTGGTGTTAAATTATCTGTAGCCTCTAATACATCTGCCAAGAGAGCAGGGGAGGCAGGGCAGGCCCATCTTCCAAAGCCCAGAGATTTGGGGCATCGCATGCCTGGGTGACCCTGGGAGGGGCTGTGTTTAGACACAAGGCAGCCGAGGACCTCTGGTCACCCCTGCCCCCCACACTGTGGTTATCAAAGGGTGTCAGAAAAAGAGCGTCTCACCGGTTCCCCGTGCAGCCCGGGACAGTCCTGCTTCAAGATCCTGGCTGCAGGATGGGGTGTGTGACGAGGCATCACCTTAACCAGAAAGAGAATTCAGTTAACACACAGCCGGGGAAAAGGAATTCCCGATAACACCGTAGTAACCCTCCTGAGGATAAGAAATGGATTTCAGATGCAAGAGCAGCGGAGGAAAACTGAATTTAAGCCAGCCGGCGCCCAGGTGGCTCCCACCCAGGGCAGGTGGCGTCTCCAGGGCCCGTCACTTCCTCAGCGTGGCCCCGGGCACAGGGTAGCAGGCCGGTGCCACTGACAAACCTAGTGTCCCTCATCCCAATCCCCCTCTGCATCTGGGGGTCCGGGACCCCAGGAGGCATGTGCACAACAGTAACTGTCACGCAGCCGAGAGGAGGCTGAGGCGACAGGGCGGTGAGTAGGATGCAGGGGTGACGACTTGTGATCAAGCCACCGCTGCTCTGCAGGTCCATCCCTAACCTGTCAGGGTTTGCGGAGCATGAACTGCACTGCGTGGGGGTGCGTGCGGTCATCAGGGAGCCCCGTTCGGGGAGTGTTGGCCCTAACGGGGTGAGAGGCATCTGAACCAGGAGTGCACCAGCCGAGGGGCATCTCCAGGAGAAGGTTCTGGCGGAGGCGTCTCAGTGTGAGTTGGCAGGTGGGTGCAGGAGGGCAGGGAGAGGGAGGCGGACCGAAGAGCTGCAGAAGCAAAGCCCAGCACTTCCCAGCAGGGCACCTCCGGGCAGCTGCCTTTGAGTGTTGCTGGCTCCTCACAGGGACATGGTTCTGGGGCGGGACGGGATCTAGTCTCCTTGAGGTCCAGCTGGACAAGACCCTGACCAGTCCAGGCACCACTGGCCTCCAGGTTCCTTCACTTGTGCTATGTGGACAAGTCCCCACGGTGATGGCATTGTGGCCAAGGGCTCACTGGCCTTTACTGGCACAGACCCCGCCATCCTCCCGCTCAAAAATAGCAAGCCGGGAGGAGATGGGGGTCCTCCTACTTCATACATACAAGACCCTTTGGGGGGCTGGTTGAAGTGCAGATTCCTGGGCTGCCGGGCGCAGGACTCCGGTGCCAGGTCCCCCGGCCTGGGAGGGCACTGGCCATGCTGACTTCATGTGGGCTACTCTGACGCAGCTCTGGGCCACACGCTGAGTGCGGCCCAGGGCGCCCGTGAAGTGCTGTCGAGAACACACCCGTGTCTGCCCTGGGCGGCATCGGCTGGCGGACACCCACCTCTGCAGCGCTGTCACTGAGATGCAGCCACACCTTGCGTGGCGCTGGGTCCCACCAGACCGCTCAGCAGACACTGGCACTTCCCACAGGTGTGTTACCCAGACTGGTCCTGGGGGGAGAGCCACCCCGGCTGACAGACAGATACAGACTGTGGGCCCTGCCTGACCCTAGGACCTTCTCGTGCCCCAGAGCTGGTGTGCAGCCCACAGGCTAACATCGGGGCTGGCAGACCTCCTGGAGGGCTGTCATCACCCCAAACGCTTCCTCCTCCCTCCCGCCTTCCTGGCCAGAGCAGCAAGCCTGGTGGGAGCACAGCAGGGGCCCCAGACTGTCCGCCCCCCTTACAGGCTCTGGACATCGAGACCACATTCCCCGTGTGGCCCTGAGGCAGGGCCCAGGGCTGGACTCCACTCCCAGGGGGCACCGAGGCCGGCAGTGTCCGGGCAGAGCCAGGCACGCCCTGGGGACACGGGGCTGGGCCAGCTGTACCTGCCGCCCTGGAGGGGCCCCACGAGGTGGGGTCGCTGGCAGAGCGGGCCACGCGCCTGGGACCTGGCCGCGACCGCATGCCCTGAGGGGGGCCCTCAGGGGATGTGCGGCACGGTTGTGTGGCGGGCAGCAGGGCGCCCGTGGGGCCGTCGGAGGGTGGGCGGCTCAGGCCCGGCATAGCAGTGCCCTCGGGGGCCAGCAGGCTGGAGCTGTCGGCCGGCGCTGCAAGGCAAAGGACATGGCGTCAGCGCTGGTGCTGGGCAACTACCAAGCCGCCCCCACGCGGGACAGCGCCGCCCACGCGCCCGTCCGCCACCCAGGGTCCTCCCAGGGGGTGGGGGCAGCCCACCCTCCAAACTCCAACCCTGGACAAACCCTGTCATCTTGCGGGCGTGGAAATCCTGCCCAGGCTGATAGTGCTCTGTGTAGAAAGGATGGGGGGACCAGACGATCCCCCAAGAATCATTCCAGGAGGGGTACGGGTCTCCACGAGAGACTCCAAGTCAGAAACCAGCCGCGTCTCCCATCCAGGGCATCCCCTGGGGGGTCTGAAGTACAGGAAGGTGGGGGTCACATGCTCAATGGGCAGGGCCCATGCAGAGAGAGGTCGGGGCTCTGAGGGACCCCAGGGCACCCTAGCCAGGCCCCCTATGCCCACCCCACGCAGGGGGTGCAGCTTAGGCCCAGAGTGCAGCCCCTCGTCAGGCAGGTGGGGTAGCCCAGCCCTCTGAGAACAAACCCCCGCTGCAACTGTGCCAAAGTGCACATCCTCAGTCCAGCCCTGCCCGGCTCCGAGGGTGGGCCCGGCCATCAGGGTTTGAACAAGCCCCAGGGGATTCTGATGCCCCGAGTGTGAGAACCGCTGCTCTGGACCGGTCATGTCACGCTGCTTACGCTGGGCTTTACCCCTTGCTTCTCCGCAGGTGGCCCCTGGGGTGGAGGCTGGACCAGAATCTGTCTAAACAGGGTCCCCAGTGGACCTGTATACACATCAGGGCTTGAGGAGCGCTGCCCTCTACCCTCCTCTCTCCCATCACCAGACCACCCCAGGGCGCCCCTCCTTAAGGCTCCTCACTGCCCCCCTCCCCCCACTGAAGTAGATGTTCAAGGCGAGTGGCCCGCGTGGGGAACATATGCTAAGAACCACAGCAACCTGAACTCTTACAGTGGGGGAGGCTTTGAGATCTGTTCCTTCCTCCCCTTCCTGTGGGTCCTGGGGGAACTTCTCTGCTCCCAGGGGCCCTGCAAGCCCCACATCTGTGCACATGTCCTGTGCCCAGGGCCCACCCAGTCACCCCCAGCCCACAGCCGAGGAAACTCTGCTGAGAGAGGGCGGGGAAGAAGGTGGCAGGCCACCGAGTGGGAGCTGGTGGAAAGCGGACCCATTCTGGAGCACACGTGTTCGGCGCCCCCCTATCCCCCACTGTCTGCCGCTGCCCTCCTGAGAGATGCTTTGAGACCATCAGTCCCATGAGTCCACCTGGAACAACAAAGATGAGACAGACCTCACATCTCACATGCAAAAAAAAAAAAAAATTATTCAGGACGATTAATCCTTTTCTTCTTTAAGATACCATAAGAGTAGAAGAAAATATGGGAGAATAAATCTACTGCCTTGAGGGGGTGAAAGACTTTGTAAACATGATAGAAACCATAAAGGAAAAGCTTGATAAATTTGACAAAAACATGGTAAACTTGTGTACGGCAAAGGCCTAATTAACAGGCTTCAAGAAGCAAAGCCTGAACTGGGGAAGCAAACCTGCCATAAATAGAAAGAGTCACTCTTACACCTTTTCTCACTTCTCTATTTAACAAATAGTTTTCTTATATACCAAAACAAAACAAAACAAAACAAAAACAAAAAAAACCCCACTGCAACAGAAATAAACGGACCCAAAACAGACCTACAAGTTGATGATAGATATGTAAAAAGGTGCAGAAACTCAATCCTATGTGTGTGTCAAGTTCACCTACAAGGATGGTAAAGGTCCCCAGGAGTGACAATGTCTTGGGGTGTCACAAACACTCTTGGTGGGAACATAAACTCGTCATAAAACCCTTCCAGTACACAGTGTAGTCAATACATCCAAGTCTAAAATACACATTCCCCTGGGCTCAGCAATTTCCCTCACTGGAATTTATCCCAAGGAAGTAATTGGTCAAGTGCTCAAGACCAAATGTATAAATGTAGAAAAGAAAATATACTTTCCTGTCTCCTTAGAAAACTTCAAACCTAGACATTGTCATTACTAACACTCTCAAAATCTTTTCAAAAATCACCCAGCAAGTATATTAAAAGCCTTTTGAATAATATTCATTCCTTCACATTCTTTTTGATCCCAATTCCCTCTCTCTCTCTTCCACAGCTTTACTGAGGTATAACTGATATGCAAAACACCTGTGCCTATTTACTGTATATAATTTGATGAGACTGGACATATGTACACACCCTTGATCCCAAGTTTCTTTTTTTTTTTAATTTAATTTTTTTGTGTGGCTGCATTGGGTCTTCATTGCTGTGTGTGGGCTTTCTCTAGTTACAGAGAGTGGGGACTACTCTTCACTGCGGTGCACGGGCTTCTCATTGGTGGCTTCTCTTGTTGCAGAGCACCAGCTCTAGGTGCATGGGCTTCAGTAGTTGTGGTGCGTGGGCTCAGTTGTTGTGGCTCGTGGGCTCTAGAGCACAGGCTCAGTAGTTGTGGCGCACGGGCTTAGTTGCTCCGTGGCATGCGGGATCTTCCCGGACCAGGGCTTGAACCCATGTACCCTGCATTGGCAGGTGGATTCTTAACCACTGCTCCACCAGGGAAGTCCCCCAAGTTTCTTAATGTCAGTGAAAATCCAGTGGTTGAGTTCCTCAAAGAAATGCAAAGAGTCATGAGTGACAAATGTGACCTAGCTCTGAATATAAGTAATTAATAGAAAACTTATAAAATTAGGACAGCATTACAGGAAAAGCTTATGGCCCAAGGCTGGTCACTCTCATTTCTGCACACCCTCCCCTCCAGGGTTGTGTCATGTGCCTACATTTTTATAGAAGTCATAATCGTGGTGGACCTCCAGGGTTTCACCTAACGGATCGAAAACATTTTTCCTAATAATGTGTAGTGATATATTCAGCTTGTGTAACACATTTTCCTGAACTCTTATTAATGGACTTCATTGTCCCCCTCAGTTTTTACTGTTATGGAAAAGGCAACAACTTATCTGCATGCTTACTTCTCCTTTTTCTGCATTACTCCCCGGGGGTGATTCTAGAAGTATGAGCACATCTAATGGCATACATATTTTCATGGCTCTGCATCCCAAACGCTTTGCCAAAGCAGTGGGCTGACTTACAAGCCACCAGTTAGGGCCCCCATGTCCTCATCACTATTTTGTTATTTTAACAAATAGCAAAACAATATTGTTTTAAAAAACAATAACAGAATCTCCAAAAAAAACAAACAAACAAAATTCTAGAGCTAATAAGTGCACTCATCTAGGCTGCAGGATTCAAGGGGAATACATGAGTGAATCCCCTCCTGTTGATTCAGAGTCAGTCCCATGTACTGACGATGAACACGCAGAAACCAAAGGTGTAAACCCAGTGCCATCAACAGCTGCTCCAGAGAAAAATGAAACAGGAAACACACACACTAAGGAAAGCTGCCCAGGATCTGTATGCTGAAAAAGATACCGTGAAACCAAAGCTCGAAAACCATGGAGACAGACTGTGTTCACGCCTCAGAAGACTCAGCTTTAGAAAGATGGCAATTCTCTAAAATATGGCACAAATGAACTTATCTATGAAACAGAAACAGACTCACAGACATAGAGGACAGACTTGTGGTTGCCAAGGGGGAGGGGGAAGGGAGAGGGATGGACTGGGAGTTTGGGATTAGCAGATGCAAACTAGTACATATAGGATGGATAAACAACAAGGACCTACTGTATAGCACAGGGAACTATAGTCAATATCCTGTGATAAGCCATAATGGAAAAGGATATATATGTATAACTGAGTCACTTTGCTGTAGAGCAGCAATCAACATGGCATTGTAACTCAACTCTACTTCAATAAAAAAAGAAAGATGGTGATTCTATCCAAACAGCTGTACAGGTTTAATGCCTGTCAAGATCCCAGCAAGGGAGACTTCCCTGGCAGTCCAGTGGTTAAGACTCCATGTTTCCAACGTGGGGGCCATGGGTTCGATCCCTGATCAGGGAACTAATATCCCACCTGCCATATGGCCAAAACAATGATAAAAAAATAAATTAAAAAAATGAAACACAAATACATGGAGGCTAAACAGTGTGCTACTAAGTAACCAAGAGATCCCTGAAGAAATTTAAAAAATACATAGAAACAAATGACAACAAAACACAATGACCCCAAACCTGTGGGATGCAGCAAAAGCAGTTCTAAGAGGGAAGTTTATAGCAATTCAATCTCACCTCAAGAAACAAGAAACATCTTAAATAAACAATCTAACCCTACACCTAAAGCAACTAGAGAAAGAAGAACGAAGAAAACCCAAAGTCAGTAGAAAGAAAGAAATCATAAAGATCAGAGCAGAAGTAAATGAAATAGAAACAAATAAAACAATAGCAAAGATCAATAAAACTAAAAGCTGGTTCTTTGAGAAGATAAACAAAATTGATAAACCCTTAGCCAGACTCATCAAGAAAAAGAGGGAGAGGATGCAAATCAATAAAATTACAAATGAAAGAGGAGAAATCACAACTGACAATGCAGAAATACAAAGGATTATAAGAGACTATTACAAACAACTATATGCCAATAAAATGGACAACCACGAAGAAATGGACAAATTCTTGGAAAGATACAATTTTCCAAGACTGAACCAGGAAGAATTAGAAAATATAAACACACCTCTCACAAGCAATGAAGTTGAAACTGTAATTAAAAATCTTCCAACAAACAAAAGCCCAGGACCAGATGGCTTCACAGGTGAATTCTAGCAAACATTTAGAGAAGAGCTAACACCCATCCTTTTTAAACTCTTCCAAAAAATTGCAGAGGGAGGAACACTCCCAAATTTGTTCTACAAAGCCACCATCACCCTGATACCAAACGAGAAAAAGATATCACAAAAAAAGAAAATTATAGACCAATATCACTGATGAACATAGATGCAAAATTCCTGAACAAAATACTAGCAAACAGAATCCAACAACATATTAAAAGGATTATACACCACGATCAAGTGGGATTTATGCCAGGAATGCAGGGATTCTTCAATATAGGCAAATCAATCAATATGATACACTGTATTAACAAATTAAGGAATAAAAACCATATGATCATCTCAATAGATGCAGAAAAAGCTTTTGACAAAATTCAACACCCATTTATCTCCAGAAAACGGGCATAGAGGGAACCTACCTCAACATAATAAAGGCCATATATGACAAATCCACAGCAAACATCATACTCAGTGATGAAAAACTAAAAGCATTTCCACTAAGATCAGGAACAAGAAGAGAAGGACGTCCCCTCTCACCACTCTTATTCAACATAGTTTTGGAAGTCCTAGCCATGGCAATTAGAGAAGAAAAGAAATAAAAGGGATACAAATTGGAAAAGAAGAAGTAAAACTGTCACTGTTTGCAGATGACATGATACTATACATAGAAAATCCTAAAGACGCCACTGCAAAACTATTAGAACTAATCAATGAATTTGGTAAGGTTGCAGGATACAAAATTAATGCACAGAAATCTCTGGCATTCCTATACACTAACAACGAAAAATCAGAAGGAGAAATTAAGGAAACAATCCCATTTACCACTGCAAAAAAAAGAATAAAATACCTAGGAATAAACCTACCTAAGGAGGTGAAAGACTTGTACTTAGAAAACTATAAAACACTGATGAGAGAAATCAAAGATGACATAAACAGATGGAGAAATATACCCTGTTCTTGGATTGGAAAATTCAATATTGTGAAAATGACTATACTACCCAAAGCAATCTACAGATTCAATGCAATCCCTATCAAACTACCAATGGCATTCTTCACAGAAATGGAACAAAAAACTTTACAATTTGTATGGAAACACAAAAGACCCAGAATAGCCAAAGCAATCTTGAGAAAGAAAAATGGAGCTGGAAGAATCAGGCTCCCCAACTTCAAACTATACTACAAACTACAGTAATCAAGACAGTATAGGGCTTCCCTGGTGGCACAGTGGTTGAGAGTCCACCTGCCGATGCAGGGGACACGGGTTCGTGCCCTGGTCCGGGAAGATCCCACATGCCGCGGAGACGTGTAAAACCCTCTAAAGACCTGGACGGGGCACCCAGGTCACAGTCTGCACAGTCAGGGTATGCTTTCTAAGCCGCCATCGAGGTGGTGACCACGGTGTCGACTTGAAAAAATGCACAACGTGAGAGTTGTGAGTTGTTTTATTTGGGGCAAAATGAGGACTGTAGCCCAGGAGACAGCATTTCATATAGCTCTGGTAAACTGCTCCAAAGAGGTAGGGGGAAGGTCAGTATGCATGTGATTTTGGTGAAGGGGGAGGACATGCAAT